CACCATAACTGTTTTATTGCTAAATCAACAAACTTCGACTGGTGTATTTTCTTGTTTTTTATGCTTGTTTAATCAAGACTTACGTATCCAAGATACACTGATAATCGCCGAAGAAAAAAAGTGCTAATAGAAAAGGAAAGTGATTCATTAAACTCTAGATTATTATTTTTTTGTCTAGTATAAACAAAATGTAGCATTTCACTTTGTCCGGGTCTGTTTATTCAAGACGTAGACGTCGCCAAGATACTGTGATACCCAGTCAAGAAAAACTTGAATTGATAGAAATAATCAAGCCGGCGTGATTCATTTAACTTTTCTTTTTCAACTAATAGTATAGCATTTTCCCAAGGCCGTGATCATCAGACTTAGGTTTCTATGGATACGATGAATACATTCACACAGTACTCAGTCAAAAATATGATAATTGTATCAGAAAGGTTGATACATTCTACATTTTAATTAAAATTCATAAACGAAAATGTCACTTGAAGACCTCTTAAGGTAGTGAATGGACTTTTTATTTCATTAAGATCTACCACAAATATTGGCGGTTTGCGCTGTTTCCAGCTCTAAAACTTGCGCTGTTTCCAGCTCTAAAACTAATGGTTTTACATTGATATAAAAAAATACAATTTCTTTTTCTGGTCGGAGATGAACAAATCAATTTCGCAAGGGATGTGTTTAACGGATTAAAGTAATTGAACGAAATACCGCCTAATATATACAAAGGTGACTTTACTGCAGCCAAAATCGATTTAGTCATCAATTTAATTGAACTTTACAAAATGGAAAAACAGTAAGAAGTTCCGACATATTATGGTAAAAATATTTTATGTTTCTAGTTATGATGAAACACTGTGAAAATAAAGTAGGGATAGCAGTTCGATTGACTTAAAGTCGCTTTGGTTGCTTTGAAGAAAGTTCATTTTTCAATAGAAGTGTTAAAAATACAAATTGCTTGGTTATAAGTGGGTTAATTTGCGCAAAATGAACATTCATATTTGTCAGATTCAATCTTGAAAGTCGCATCTTCAATTGTATTTTCAAGCTGATTTCAGTGCACTATTTTCATAATTCCTTTATCGATAAAGCATGTTTTTATGGATCTAATAACATTAGCCTTAATTCTGTCATCACTCCACATAATCACTTCTTATATTGTGCTATTTCCATTTCTGATATTGGGTGAATTGTACATTTGGCATTAAATGAAATTTAAGTTTTCCTTTAGATAATGAGCACACATAAGAATATCAAACACTCAATTTTGTCCCMAAAATCRCGGTTTTCGTTATTCCTTCTTTACTAGATTTTCACTATGATACATTCAGTTTCGCGGCGTCGAATTTCATCCCTTTTTAGCTTGTGTAACGTATTGGCGAATAATCACCACTCTCCCTCAACAGTAGTTAGTATGCTATCAATAGATTGAAGATCTCTAATACTTATTGATAGTCTATTAATTAAGGAATCTAAAACGGACACCAACATATAAACACATAAAGCAGAGACGATAGCGTTGCGAGTCTCTTGGTTTTTGAGTACCCCCCTATTGTCCAAGCTCTCCTGTTCTCGAGTGTTCTCCTATTTCTGGCTTTTCAGGCGCAACAACCCGCRAGCTATGTTCGTTTCTAGTTCACCTATGAACACTTTTATCATCCAATAAGGGCGCGAGTAATCAACAAATATGTCACAATGAACAGCAGACATAACATAAAATGATATAATTAAATATATAGGTATGTTTTTAGCATAAAAATAAAGTCTTACTTTTTTGAAGAGGTGCCTTGTGCATCAGGTTCAGGTAAATCATAAAGTAGAGTCCACTAATAGCTCCCAAAGGCAACACATACAAAGCAACAAAGATGAAATACGTATAGACTCGTACCAGCTGCACTGATCCAATCATAGGCAAGTTCTCRATACATGCTCCATCTTTGTCGATCTTCGCAAAATAAAGCATCGGAGTGGCAACAAGTATTGCTCCAGTCCATATAGCGATGATAATATAGAAGGCATGTCTTGTTCGCATTCTTGGTTTTAAAGGATGTACGATAGCTCGGTGTCTGTCCGCCGCTATAGCAATAAGAGAACCCACAGACGCAGATAGGGTCATTCCCATGAGAGATGTTACAATCTTACATATAACTAAACCAAACGGCCAATCGGCCAGCTTAAGTCTTAGTATGTTTATRGGAACATTTATAAGAACAACGTTTAAATCAGCAAAAGCTAAGTTTGCAATAAATAGATTTGTGACTGTTTTCATACGAGGGTTCCTGTAGGCCAAAACCACCAATACATTCCCAATACTACCGAATACAATTATCAGTGCGTTAAAAAACGCCCAGGGTATAAAAGAAATCTCGAGGTTAGGTTGATGCGTTTGGTTTGCAGTAGAACCATTCATATTTACTGTCAATATTTATCAGTCTGACTTGTGATATAGTCCTAAAGCAGCAACTTATTCTGTTATGGTCTTCTGTAGCGGTGGATTTTGATGCTGATTTCAATTTGCGCTAGAGATCTCTGGACACGGTTTTTTCGTTGCTTCTTGTTTTARCCGCTTCCYGAACTTTATTTCCAAGGTGACGGATTCTGGACAACGCGGAGCAAGTAATGAATTTCTGTATATGAAATAAAGATGATTGGACGATTTCCTGTGAATTACTTTGAGCAGTTCCTTTTGGTCCTGGAAAAACGAATTTAACCAACGCGAATTTTCTCGTTATCAGCAGGGCCACCTTATCAAATGTTTCTGTATCTCCAACAACAACTCATAACATTCTCGAAAACAGATTCTTTCAGAAATGTCCCTGCTTCCGCAAAATGGACTAAAATACTGTAGCGAGTTTCTTAGCTTGCTTCTTCAATGTTTTCTTCAACGCTTTCTGCTTCTGAAAACCAAACAAAAATGTCAATACTTCAGTGATTACTGGTTGGTTGACAATGACGCGAATGCAGCCAGCCTTTTTCATTTGGTCTTGATAAATAGACACAAAACCTTATAAATATTCATAATCGTGATTAAGGCCGTGTTTCCTATATTTATTAAAACCCTTAAAGGACAAAGAGAAGTTTCTATCGGTGAATACACCGACTAGATTTTATTTTAACTATATTTGAACGTTGGTTTGTTATTGTAATGCTTACTTGATTTATTGCTATACTTGGGGGTAAAAAACATGCTGTTTAAAGGACCACTATAACAAATCCTTTCATCTTGGCTTAACACGATGTTTTTTCATTGAAATCAATAGTTATAATCGATCGGATTTACGATAATTCTTTAAGAAGATTTTTTTATGTTGTCCCACCGATGTACTTTTCAAAGCACAAATCCTATGTTGTTGCATAAAAGATGGGTGAAAAAGTGAAGTACTATTCCCTCATACAAACACCTTTCAAACTAACAATTTGACGATTGTCAAACAGCAAAACTCTCGTTTTTATAAACAGTTGGCTAAAAAAAGTGAACATCTTTATTATCTCATATTTTAAACAGGTTTAACTGACATTTTCCCTACTCCAGTCCCAGCAAGCAGGCAAATACGCGGGATAACCGAAAAGTGATTTGGGTTTAGTCTTATGCCCTATATATATGCAATCACTCGAGAGCTGCCATTCGTCCATTCATGACAAGAAACTGTCTTGAAATCGAAAATGCACTTGGCGTACTTTGACTATTTTGTGAGTAAGGTATCATATGTTTAACTAGTCTGACAGTACATAGAATACATATTTGCCCGGAGATCCTCAAACATTTTGGGAGTTTTTAAAAGTATTATATTGGATATTTTTAAAGGCAAACAGTACAACACGGTTACTTAATCGACCGTTTGAACAGGTGACATTTCGCTTATTGCTAGCTCGTCATTTTAATCAACTATCTTCTCTGCATAGCCGATATTACTATTATAGTTAAAGCAAGTATATTTCGCTGCCTAAATTGAATTTATGTTAATGCCTTAGAAAATACGTGAAATTGCTCATGTATTTTGCAAGAGTCGCAGTAGGGACTGAGGCACGAATTATCATGCTAATGTCAGTCAAAGCCATCTTTCAAGGGTTCTTGATTTCACTAGCTGAGACTGAAAAAATCAAACGCGTCAATTCATACTGTTTTTCAGCCTTTCAGAAACGAATAGACACTCTTTTATTTATAACTGAAAAGGCGACAAGAAAAATAAATAGAATGGAAAAGCTAGCGAAAACAATGAGATTTAAATAAATAGAACTCTACTTTAGTGCTTCTTAATTTCACTTTGACTTTTAAAAAACCCGGCAATTTATCTTCATTTAACGTATCTAGATTGTATAAATCTTTCTTTCCCATTTATTCAAAGTAAAAGATATGTGGAATAAATTATAATAAAATTACTTTGCTACTGTTACTTGTTGCGTAGAAGCATTTTCATCTTCGATGAGAAGGAATGAAATTGAAATGGGAGAAAAGTGAATGCGTACGACTTCAGAGCGGTTACAATGCGGAGACACGGTTCCTAATCTCCCGGTTGAATTTCTTGTTGTTACTTGATTAAATACTAACACCTTAGGTACTATACAATTCTATATCAAAGTTCCGTCGATAAAACCAAGTAAACTTGATGTTATAATTTATGCTTATATAACACAATAGATGGAGTAATAAGTCAATATAAGGATATAAATGGACGATATTCCATGAATATTACAACTGGCAGGTCAACACAATGACTTTTAGATGCTACTTTATTTAATGTGAACAAAAGAATAAATGTATTTTGTCCCCTCCGCGAAGGCGTTGATCCAATTAGGCTTGTCTTATAATTCAATATGTTAAGCTACGGGACTCTTTGAAGTAAATATGGCATTTGAAATTTATTTTGACCGTAAGAATATAAAACATGGTTTGCCCTGAAGCCAATTTCTTCAACAATTTAAACAGTACTTAATTGTTTTCTTTAAATACTTCTCTTTTAATTAATTCTCGGGCTCAAAATAATTTCAAAATAGTTAGGATCGTTTTAATTAAGTTTGTGCCAAACGATATTTTGAACCCCCTACCGGTATGTCAAGTCTGATAAACTACTAAATGTGTAAAAAATAAAGTCCGCACAATTTCCTTTCAGATTAAAATCAGACAGTTTCTCTGTAAAAACACTCACTTTGTGAAAAAATACAATGTAAAAAAGCCTTGCTTCAATTATAAAACATGTTCTAAGTATCATGAGTGACAGTATAGTTGTTGTTTTTAAGTTCTCGAGACCTGGCAATCCTTATACGCTAAAGGCTTACTACACGTTTCCCTCCAAACAAAGTTTATTAATCATTTGGGGAATTCCTCTCTAGAAACAATTCACCAATGAGTTTCCATTTTTTGGAACATTTCCAAATATATTCTGTCAATCAGATCAGTATTTGGTATGCAGAACTCGGTGAATTCACTTTCCATATTCTCTGCTCGTTATAACAACTGTCGTAGAAACGCATTTTTTTGGCAGATAGAATCTTTGTTCACCTGCAGCAAATATAATTTAAGTACTGCCAAAACAACGCCTGCAGGCCGATGCACAATAAACTGTTTTTCAACGAGCGACATCAATTTTCAACTCGGAAGGCGTTCCGTTCACCACCCATCAACAGTAATTACAGGAGTGAGATGAGGGGGCTGTCTCTTCTATTAACCCTGCTATTAGACAAGCCATGAAATCCGTTGCTAGTTTATCGATTTTTCTTTACCATAAGGCTTATCAGATGCAATGTAAATATAATAAGAACCATGGGTAAACAAAGTTGACACATTGGAGTTAAAATCATAAAAAAATCTGTTACCAGGCCAACAGGCCAATGGAAATTTCCTCTTAAACAAATAAGTTGACATCCCAGTGTTATGAAAGTCATTAAGAGTTTTTTGGTTACTGTTTTTCATTAAAATGCTAGTACTGTTCGCTACTAATTAGGTTCTCATCGTAGGGGATTGGTATTTATGACCTAAGCAGAAGGCCATAACAGAAATGTCGTCGCTATAGTATAATAATTGGCTAAGGATCAGGATTCAATAAAAACTCATTTTTTTCTATTATTTGTTAATCAAATTCACTGATTCGGAGAACAAAGATTACATTTTGTTTACTTATCCTCAAAGGCCAAAGCGCTAGTCCCTTAATTACCCAATAACCTACACCTAAAGTCCAACCCTCATACTATAGCTATTGCCAGATATTCCATATGTTTTTCAACGAAATTCGTAGACAGCTTTCATTGAATTTGTACTCATCGCGCATGCTCTACAGTATTTCCTTAAGCCATCCCACATTGCTTATCGAGAGACTTTCTTTGCTTTTTTTAGTTTAACAAATTGTTAAATCTGACGGGAAAATAAAGATGTAATCAAGTTTGCTTTAGTTTTACTAGATTCGTAGATTGACCTGGTAAGGAAGACACTCGGTACATTCGCATTGCGTTTAATTTTAATTCAAAGTAAAATATAGTCAGAGTCTGAGGCGAATCTGGGATTTGAAAGCACACTACACTGATAAAAAAACAGTGGTCTTAATGGAGCAACTCGCAATTGCAATGTATAGTTGTTCTTCTATTGTGAGATTCGGCATTTGCAACGAGACTCAATAGTAGTGAAAATCAATGTCAGTGGTTTAGTACCTTCTTTCAAGTCAAACAGACGCAAAAGAAAACAAAGAAACTCAGTATTAAAGTGACTAACCTACTTCACTGTCTTATTGTACCTTTCTTCTGCTATACCATTATACAACTAAATATACATTACCATTGAACGATCTTGAATCTAGCGAGAGATTTTCTCCTAGTGCTCAGTTTAAGCGTCAACACAAATCTACCACAATTCATCAATAACTGCCTTAAATGCTACCCATATGTCTTATCGTATGACGTGATAAAAAGTGGGAAATATCTGTTCAACTCTCACGAGAAAAGCCCTTTAATTTATGGTAATTATGTTATAGTTAGCCCTTTGGAGATTGACGGATATCCGTGCTAAATTCTTCAATTTGTTCCTTTCATTTAATTTGTTATCGTTAGTAGTGCAATTTGCCTATTTGCACTTATAGCGATAAGACTGAATTGAAAGTATTCCATTACTGCCTTGTAGACTGGAGTAATTCCTCTCAATCACAAATGGACAGCCATTAATCCTCGCCAATCGATAGGTTCCGTCAACTAAATCACGTTTTGAGCTCAGATATATTCATAAGCTGAAACATACTACCGTATAACTATGGCTAAAAATAACAAGAATTCTAGCACTCTGCCGAGCAAATCTTGAAAAAAAAATATAGCGAAAAAAGAAAAATACTAAGAAAAATAGCACGATTTTTTCCTAACACATTTAGTTACATTAATAAAAGAATGTAGCTCCTAGTTTATTTAGCTACCAAGTTAGTGAACTGAATTATGATAAAACAACGACAAAAAAATAGTTATAGATGTCACAATAATCAATTGAACAGCAAAACTGCTGAAGTTTCAAAGTCAAAAAGCTAATTAAGTGGTATAGGATGGGAATATTGCAAATAAAACCTTCAGCTTCCCTAATAAAGTAGAATATGTACTTACTCGATAATAGTTCGCAAACAACATATACCAAATATGAGTCAATCATTCATCTGGATTGAGAGGACTTAAACGAAGAAAACGGCGATGCACATTTCATGTTGCAGAAGTCTTTATAGAATTGGTCTTTAAATATTTAACGCGTTATTTCTACGAAAATCATAGAAATAAAGACATAAAACCCTTTTAAGTGATTTTAGACTTTAATGAAAAAAATTTTTCCTTTAAGACCTTTTGAAACACTTCGCCGTATTCAACCATTTTCGGTTATTTTGCTTATCCATTTTAACAAGTTCCCTTAAAAGATTAACTTAACAAGGCAATTTATACTATGTTAATTATAAAAAAACATATATACTAAAACCTGGATATGTAATAAGCTTTAAATTGCTTAGGAGATCTCTGTCTCGTGAAAAAAGACAGAGTTGTGATATATGAGTGGTTCCGAAGCATAACAAAACAAACAAATAAACAAAAAAAACCCTTGAAGCTTTCCAATAAGGGCGCGGTCGGGAAGTTTAATTACTAAAAGATAACAAACAATACTAATAATGATAAGTTACTGAACTTTAAGACTGATGCATATGCTATAACTAAAATAGCTAGAACCTGTCTCTGAAATAGAGGAAGAGCAGAGTCAATAGTTTAAATCATTATTGTCGGTCTCATGGTTACCCTGGGTGTAAACGACAAGCCTGGCAAAGATTACAGCACTCCTTATTAACGACATTTTACTAACATAGACAGTATGTCCTAATAAACTCAAAAGTAGTGTAAAAGCTACCGTAAGACCATCTTAACAATATTTCCTGTCGAATTTGATTTTCATAATCTTTATGGTAGCTGCACTATCCTTTTCGTTGCTTTAAAGATTATCTGCTAGTCTTACCAAATTTATCAATATACAGACTACCACTGATGGTTATAATAATCCCTAACTCAGCATATAGTTTGTATAAACTCCAAAATATTGCTGACTGTTTTATACAAACAATGTAACTATGTTACAACTAAAGATTTTACTTTGCATATATATGAGTATCAAGAGTTTCGTTGTGAAGCCATTTGTAAATGTACTCGCTAAGTATCAGACCAGTGTCTGCAAAGATGTATGGTATATCTACATGGGAAAGATTAAAGCTTTACCTGTATACATAGGTATCAATGCCTACAAGTATTTGCTTCATCTGAACGTCTAGCCTTTTTAAAACGAATACATAGAGATAATTGAGGGCTGTTTTTATGGGCAAATCTCTCGTTTTAGACATATCAAACTTAAGATTTTTTCAAACTCTTAAAGAAACATAAATATTTAATGTATACAAGGAAAAGTCATAAAAGCATTGTGAAGGCTAGAAGGTTTATTAAACAATTTGTTCAAATCCCACTTTTACTAAAAGCAGCTTATAGATATGTTGCTTAAATATGAATTCAATTTTTTCCAGCATTAAACTTAACTGTCTTTGCAGTACATACAATCAACTAAAAATTAAACAAAACTCAGGTTCAATTAGCACTCTTGAACAAAATGAAAAAATATAAGTTAAAATTATACGCCAGAAATGATTTTTGAAATGATAATGCTTGCAATCGACGTTTACCTCAAGAAAGATAATGTTATTCTTGTACCATGAGAATTGGTAGAAATGCGTGCATCAGACTAAGTTGTCAATTAGTTTTTAACGCACTATTTTTATAGCCATTATTTCTTCTTGGTTTATAATACTGACTATCAACATCCTTAAAAGGATGTGGGCTGAGCTGGTGAACAGCCATTATCACCATCACTAAGCAAAGTGCAAAATTGAGGAAAAATTAACGCGGCAGAGAGATAAGAAAATGGGCACCAGTTTGACTGACAATGATAGTTCAGCATCTTTGGCACTTGTCACGACAGCTTTTCATGCTTTTTAAAGGATATATGTTCGGACTTATGTCAAGGTTATATTTTTTAACACTCAATTGTACGATACTGAGCCCGCTAAATCCTCTTATAAATGCACTAGTGTTTACTCAATTTGGCTTCAGTAAAGAATATTCATCATTTGTGAAACTGCCACTCCCTTTTTCCTGTTTTTCTTTGCTTGTTATACTGTTCTATTCCTATTTTTCATTTTTTTCATTTTTCGTTAATTCCCACTCTTTAAATTCTACTGGTCTATTTTGCTGATTATTTCCTTCCTTTCTGTTCTTTTTACCATCCATTCTTCACTTTTTTAAAATGGGTTATTCAATCCCCCTGTGTTGTTTAGATTCTAAGTGGTTTTATAACTGAAACCTTAATTGATTTAGYTCACTTAATCCTAATTCTTTTGCACTGCACGGATACCGAACGGTTATCCATTGCCTGGGGTCAGTAGTAACAAACAAGCCGACAATTTCTATATGTGAAATCGGAAGTTTTGAAATCGTACAGCAATTTAACAAACAAATTAAATGTTTGTTGCCGACGTTAGTTTGGTTAAATGTCTYGTTAATGTTAATATAATAAAGTATGGTATTACAGAATTAAATGGCTGTTGTTTTTTAAATTGCATCATTAACGGCATGAATTCTTCCTTTTCAGAAATAAATCTGCATCTTAGCAAAACGGAAACCCGTAAATCATTGACTGGATCCGAGACTAAAAGTGAATAAATAGACTTTTGCTGCGTATTGGTACAAAACCACAACAAATTTTAGGTCTGTAGAATAACTCATTCAGATTTCGCGAGTCAGTTTCCATGTGACTACGACTATAAAACATGACTGTTTCGTGGCAGCGATAAAGCAGACTTGTCATGCATGTGGTATAGCTTTTGAAAACACAAAAGAGCATGCGTGATTGGTAGTTACCGCTGTGCTTGACGTCGATGACAAGATGATATGATATACCAAACCTTTTACATATCGTATTATCATGTTCTTGTCTGCATTTATATTTCTACTAACGACCTACGTATAGTGATTGACTAAGATCGGGTAAATAAAGATTGCAGCGCTTTTAAATGCTACATTCATGAAAAAAGTGAAACGAACCAAAATGTTAACTCGTGCCAACATGCAGTATACTAGTCAGATCAAATAAGAGTTACTATTTACTTTTTCAAAGATAGACTTATATCTTTTTAAAAGGATAATGCAAGTATCTTGTTAGAATTAACAGCTGAAGAAGACTCCGGTCATAATAGAAATGTCAAAAATTCCTTTCTGGATTGACCTGACGGGCGTTTTTGAATCATAGTTCATACTCATTCATACCTTAAACAGTAGGTTTTAGTTTCGTGAAAGATCTTTTTTGATATCCTTACATTTACGTACTTCTCGGCTGTGTGGCTCCTTGATTCCGTAGTATTTAGCAGAGTGTCTAGTCTTGATTTAAACAAAATACACAAAGTTCCCCGCAAAGTTCATCCTTAGCCATTTGAGGTATCAAGTGTGCTCAATCTGTTGACAAATGAAAGGCTGGAGAAACTGACCCTAATTAAAGACAGCGTGTCAAACATGTATGAAAACTGAGAAGTCAACACAATTTAGACAGAAAAAAATAGGCTGGTTTTCTTCCTTGCCCCGRGGRTTTATGCTCCATTACTCAAAAACATCTTTGAGTTCTGCGCAGAGGAGAGTCATTTCCTAAAACAGCCAATGTTGGSGTATTGTGTGTGGGTTTCACTTTCCTCRATTATCAGCTGAACAGTCAATTATTTCCCTCGGTGCATTTTGAATTTATTACGCGCCGTAATTTCCCATTTACTAACTACTTCCCTAAAGCATTTTATTTACACTTAGAATACAATAAAGCATCACCGATATTTGTATCCTCGGATGTTTCCAATGGGATCCCAGTAACAAAGCCTTCAGGATTTCCGACTTCCGATAAATACGTTTGTTTAAAGACTTTTACATCGCGGCAACGTGCGAGCTTACCGCATTTCTGATTCCCAAAATCACTAACTAAAGATGGTTATCACTTGCGTTTTGCTTACTTCTTTTAAAATCTTACTTTACACTTATGTGGTAGGAATCACTCGTTCATGTCCAACCTGCATGGGCTAGACGAACACGTCATTTGCACAATAATAGACGTCTTGACAATTTCACCGAATAGTCTACCCCGATTTGACATTATATTTTCTATATTTGCCTAGTTAGTGCAGGTGGTTAATCACAAATGGTCTAGGGGACGCCGATAAGCTTCTCCTTCACTA